CGATCGGCCCAACTCATGTGGACCGGATTTGCCAAAATTGGTCCAACATAAAGCCCTCCGAGGGAAGCAAATTTGGGTCCAAAAATTACTTGCCTTACTACCCAGTTCTTTCTTCAGCCCAGTAAAGTGGGACGATCTAGCAATAAACTGGTCCAAAAGAAAAATGATCGGCCCAGGAGCCCCCCAGCAAAGGCCCGTGTGACAAAAACGCGTGTTTGCTAATGGTTGCCTAACTCCGCGCATCTCGAGGGTTGACTAGGAGACAAGTTTTGAAACTACCTGATGGATGATGGAGAGAGAAAGAAAACTGCTCGACAGTCTCGACTTCTCCTCAACGGAAAGAATCGTTTCCGATTCAAAATCTTATTTGGCTCAGAAACTGTTACACTTAATCTTATTAAAGCAACAACCTTTTGGGAACGATATCGCAGATTTGTCGATCAAAGTTCTCATCCATCAACTAAAATTCCTTCAACCGAAACAAAGAAAATTTTGTCACCCGCTTTTGTTTTGTTATTTTCATTGGTGTTGCAATTCAGAAGAAAGAATGGCCGGCTCCAGCAATGCCAATCCCATGGCTTATGACAAGACTAAAGCTGCAACCAATGGCAAAAAGTGGAAGATCATTTCCTCAGTTACTTTCAAAATCTACCTGGAGTGTCAGGAGAAATAGCAGTAGCTAAGAATGAACTCTATCAGTCAGGGGCCAAACTGACTTTACAGGAACAAGATTTTATGACTGCTGAATTCAATAAGGCAGATGTAAAGGAAGCTCTCTTAAGCATAGATATGAACAAAAGTGCTGGTCCAGATGGGTTTAGCAGTGGATTTTACAGGAAAGCATGTGATATCATTGCAGATGATTTATGTGATGCAGTGCTGGAATTTTTCATAACTGGTGAAATGTTGAAACAGGTAAATACTAATTTTATTTCACTTATCCCAAAGAATGAATGCCCAAAAGATGCAATAAAGTACAAGCCCATATCATGTTGCAACACCATTTATAAGTGTATCTCCAAGATGATCTGTAAAAGGCTGAGCTTAATTCTTCCTGATTTGATTGATCTTAACCAAGGAGCATTTGTGCAAAATAGATCAATATTGCATAATATTCTGTTAGCTCAGGAGCATATCAGAATGTATAATAGACAGAATGTAAGACCAAGTTGCCTGCTTAAAGTTTATCTGAGAAAGGCCTATGATTCTATCCATTGGGAATTCTTTGAGGAAATGTTGAAGAGCTATGGTTTTTCTACTAAATGCATACAATGGATAATGGCATGTATCAGCACATGTTCTTATCCTTTGAACATGAATGGGAGCAGTGTTAGTTTTTTCCAAGGGAAGAGGGGACTTAGACAGGGTGATCCAATATCACCACTTATCTTTGTGATGGTTATGGAATATTTGACAAAGCTCTTCAAGAAAGTAGCTGAGTGATCAGAATATGTGTTTCATCCTCACTGTGACAAATTGAGGATCACATCACTTAGCTTTGTAGATGATTTGCTTGTATGTTGTGGAGATGACCAGAGAACTTTGATTATATTGAAAGAGATCCTGGATCACTTTGCATAAAGTTCTGGACTGAGAGTGAACTTGAACAAATCCGATGTATACTTTGGTGGTCTTGGGAGTGATCAGCAGGAGCAGCTGCAGGCAATTATTGGTTTTGAAAGAGGATCATTCCCCATGAAGTACCTTGGCTTACCTCTTTCTCCCACAGCATGGAACAAAGGAGACTGTCAAGTTCTGATAGAAAAGTTAACATGAAGGGTGAAATGCTGGCCATCAAGACATCTATCTTATGCTGGTAGAGTGATACTCATTAATTCTGTGTTAATGTCCTTACATACATACTGGGTAAGTATCTTCTTATTGCCTCAGTCTATCATTCAACAGATCACTGCAGCATGTAGGCAGTTTTTATGGGGAGTGAAAGAAATTGGAAACTGCTAACCTCTTGTATCTTGGGACCTTGTATGCAGGAAAAAGGTAGCAGGAGGATTAAATATTAAAGATCCAGGAACTCGGAATCAAGCAATAATGGGGAAGCAGTTATGGGATTTGGAACAGAAGAAGGAAAGCTTATGGATCAAGTGGATGCATACATATTATCTCAAAGGGAAGAGTAGTTGGGAGTATAACTGTCCAAAAGATAGCAATTGGTACTGGAAAAAACTGCTTAAACTCAGAGATCAACTTAAACAAGGCATACAAAATGGAAAGTGGATGGGAGGTAGTAAACCATACACAACTGCAACAGGATATGAATGGTTTAGAGTACAGAAGGAGAAAGAAAGACCAGCAAAGCTAGTATGGAGTAAGACATCACTTTCCAACACTCTAGTCATCATTCTCCAACACTCTATCTATTTTGACATGATTCTCTGATTTCCCATCTGTTTATTACACCGTGTGTATCTTCCTCCATTCATCTGCATTTCCCACAACTCATAAACCTCTATCATTTGATTAAACTTTTCTGTATCAGGACTAAGCTCATTGACTCCTCCCAACCTCTCTTCTGTTTGTCTTATGCAGTTAAAATCTCCCATCATAATCCATTTTCCTTTTACCAAAAAAAAAAAAAATTCTTCTGATCGGCGGCTCTTTAGTGTCATCCGAAATTAAAATGATATTAGAAATGATGGTGAATTCTCACACCTTGATTGGAAGAGGGACTAATCAGTATATTATAATAGGCTTTCTAGTGAGCATGTATATTACATTAGCCTTGTGAGCATATCCCTTTTACTTACTTAAAGCAGAATCCACAAAGGACAGGTGTCAGCTCTTTATTAAAAATTTTCCCGCCTAAAGCCCTTTTCACTATACAAAAAAATTCGACACGTGGCTTCCCATTGATCTAGAGAAAATAGTCTAGAAATAAAATAAATAATTAAAAAAAAAGAATTTCAGTAGTCTTCAACGCGGAGGAAAGCAGGCGACTGAATTTCTAAATTTCCTACCTAATCGTGGATGATTGCCGATGATTCGGGAAAAGATCACGCCAACAGGATCATTCTTATGTCAAAACCATCTCTATTTCAAAAAACTTTAATCGTAGATGGAAAATCAATAGCATTCGTAGATTTTATATTTTGAAAGCCCTATGATGGAATCAAATTGATATGGCCTTTTTTCCTCTGCCAAGCTTCACAGTCATCATTGACCTCTGTCCCTAAATATTCTCACTTCGCTTACAGGTTTTATTGGATCTCCAGGAAGGGCAAATCTTCGGCAACAACAGCGTTCGGAAGTATAACCACTCAAATTTACTAGGTACTATTTAATTAATTGCTAGATTCGCAAGTTAAAATTTAACAGTGATCGGACGAGATCTGGTGTTTTCCTCCTTTATTACATGGAGGAAATATATCTGCAGACAATAGGCAGTGCCGCCCGTCGGATTCTATAGAAGCTGAGGTCATCGAAATCATCTAATTGGTGAAATCTGACGATAGTCTCCGCCAGAGGCCAACACTGCAAGAAGAGGAAGGTGCCCTAACTATAAATTATAAACGAAAACGTCTTTTGTTCCCAAAGTATGCATCAATCAATCTTTATTTTGTAACACGGGTTAAATTTATTAAGTATATTCTCTTCTTCCTACTTTGTATTTGTAAGTATTTTCGTAATTTGAATTTGTTTGGGCGGAAGGGAGAAAATGTTAGCTTTTAATGTAGTCGCCTCGCCTAACTCCAATTTGATCCCATATCTGGAGGTTAATGTCAATTTACTTTTGCTTCATGATATATATATTGGAGATTAAAGGGCAAACATTAAATTTGTGGTTTGAAACTTTAAAGTAGTCTGATTATATTTAATCTGTATTATCTTCAATTTTAAACTTTCCAAAAAGTTTGTTGACCCTTTGTTAGAATGCAAAGTTAATTGATTTGGATAATTCTATTGAATAATTTTAAAGTTTCATGCAGTGGTTTATTTGATTGCAGTTGTTCAGTTGTTGAGAAAAGATTTTCGGATTTAGCCGGGACAGTGAAGAATCTTAATTAATGCGACCGTCAGTGACGGAGTCAAGAGCATCGAGAAGAATTTTGATAGTGCTTTAGGCCTTGAGGAGAAGTCTGATGAAAACAATAGCTGCAATGAAAGTAAGCATCTTGGGAAATTCTAATTTGGAAGACCCTACTATTAGCTCCGAATGGAATATCTCTTCTCTGATTAATCTCTCTTAAAAATTTGCATACATGAAATGGATCATGATGATATGTTGAAACGGCTTCAGCAGTTACGGTTGTTAGTTTATAGTAATTAATCATTCATTTGTAAATATTAAGTTCAAGTTCCGTTTAATATTTTTGGAAGGTTATACAAAGCAGAATGTGTCTACCATGTCGAAAATGATTCTTTAGTAGAAGAAGTATTTATTGTAGAAAAAATCGTTACTGAATTTGGTATGATATGTGGTTCATTTCTTACTGAGATTAAAAATGTATTCAAGCTAGTATTGATGGTTATGAATCTACAAAGGCGCATATATTTGTTCTTTTTATTATCACCATTTTGTTATAATAAATTACATTTTTTTCATAATTAAATATCAAAATTCTTTAAAACAGGCCGGGCTTTTTAAATATTCTTATTCTTCACAACTATATTTATTAATAGTAGTATTATTATAGTAAAGTACATGGAGGCTGGCCGAGCATCGCCCGGACCAAGCATCTAGTTCTTATATTAAAGCCTAAAGTCGATCATGTTAAAGAAGCGAAGTAAGAAAAATTATACTAATAATCATAATATAACAATCTATAAACTTTGATATAATAATAAACAAATAAAGATAACATCTCATGCTTTATGATCATCACAGAAAAAATCCAAACGTCGTGAAAGGATCATCCCACATTCTAAAACTATTGTCCCACTCATTGAGATACTAAACTAAGATTTTTCTTTCCTTTTTTTTAAAAGATGGAAAGAGTTACACATCTGAATATATATAACTACTATAAAATGGTGAGAGGTTTTCAAACTGGAAGATAACCAATGAAGCAATCAACCATGCCAATCCAACCGGCCATATGACCATTGCAAAGACTAGTGACATCGTTGTAAGCAGCGATCATGCAAGCGCTGCAGTCCGTCGCCATCAGTGACTTCTCACAGTTTCCGTAAGCGAAAGCCGCTAAGCCACTGTCCCCATTGCTTTTGACACTTACGCTGTAATTGTAGCCTAAGGCGAAGGGCGTAGTCATAAACATATTATTGAGCGCCTCCTTTACGGCTACTCCGTAAGCATCGCCGTCAGAATACGTGGTCGGATTGCAACCTTCGTTAGTAATATCCGTGTCGGGATCGCCGTTAACGACGTAATTAACGGAGAAGGAGCAGCATAGCCCGAGAAATAAGACTAATGTTGAAACTAAGAGCCTCATGTTCTTAGGGAGTTAATGTTATGAGAAGAAATTGGGAATTAAATTTATTTTTTTTTTGTTGGTTGAAATGTGATTGGTGACATGTATTATTTGGGGATATTAGGGCTTTTAAATAGGGTTTGTATTTTTGTAGATTTCTCCGAAATCATATCTAACAATGTTACAGAAAAGGATATGTTGTCCTTGTTGTGCAGGCTACAAAGATGCCCACATATACATATACAACCTATATATGTTCGTGACAAATTTAAATGAAATGGTTAGATTTATAGATTTTGTAAATCGTATAATTTATGTTGCATTAATCTGTCACTAGCTACTTGGCACATGCGAAACGATATAATCATTTTTATGTAGGGAATTGAGAAAAAATTCTGTAGTCCCGTCAAATGGTACCGTACTTTCTCCAGTCCCATTACTAACCCAGTATTTGATTTCCGAAAGAAAAATGACCAGGGAGAATTAGAGATGACGGCCGGTGATACATATGTGAAGTCAACTGTACTGGTTTCATATCTTATTTTTCCGTCGTAGCGTAGCAATTTTTCCAAAAGAATTTTCCTTTCTTTTTTCCTAAGATAGGATTATGGATAGTTAAGGAACTGTAGTTGAGATATTAGGTGCGTTTGGCTTCTGAGCCAAATCTGGGGTAATATTCTTGCAATTTTGTTACTTCCTTTATCCCAAAAAAAGAAATATATTCCATATGAATTTTGAAACATGTGTTAGACTTACGAATCACAAATAAAGTCTGAGGGAAGACATCAATCATAATTTTCAGTTTTTCAAGAATACAACATGTATATGTATTGATGCTACATATCTATTAGATTCATCGAATATATTAGAAATGTACCTTAACCGTATGACCTGATATAATTGTTTTCAACAAATAGCTATCATGCATTATTCATTTTTCCCCGAGAAATCCGGTCGCATAAATGTAAGATAGCACGAGCAATTTTCCCTCAATTATTCTTTCTTTGGTGGGTAGAATAGAAATTTCGAGATTTCATATTATTTTATAGAGTTAAAATATAGTTGGGATATTATTTCGTGAAACTAATAATTCACATCGATATTTGTAATTTATGCTAAAAATAGTACAGATTTGAAAACTCAATGTGAACTATTATTTTGGAGAGTGAGTACAGCGTTTTCATTTTATTTTATCAATGTGTCATCTCACATTTCAAAAGTATTTCACTTTAAAAATCAATAACTCAAGACGCATTTTAATAATATAGTTTCATAAAAACTACAACAAAGCAAAATTTCAACATCTCATCATCCTCAAGCAGGATCTCAATATTAGATCCTGAAAACACAACACATTTGTGAAAGGAACAACAAATGAAGATCGTTATTATGTATGTGTTAATTAATAAACACTTAAAAACTCGACCATAAGAAATGGAACAATCAACCATGCCAATTTTACCCCCAATGTGGCCATCGCATAACGAAGTAATATCATCATAAGAAGCTTGCATGCAGGTTGCGCAATCATCCGTAGTTAGATATGCCCCAAAATTTCCGGCAGCACACACCGTGAGCAAACACCGTGATGCCGCCATACCCGGCTGTGACCCTCGTGCTATGATCGTAGTTTTGGGTATTGGGTGTCACCGTCGTTACTTCATTAAACGCCTGACTCACGGCGGTTCCGTAAGGGTCCGTGTCGGAGTACTCGCCCGGACTACAATCTTCCTCCCTATTGTCGGTGTTCGGATCGCCGTTCACGACCAAGGTGCCGTATAGTGCAAGGAGCACCAACAGAAATGTCGCAACCTTCATTAGCCTCATTTTTACTAGGAATTAGAATCAGAAAGCAAAACTAAAATAAACTTTCAAATTTATTATTTTGATGTTTTGTGTTAATTAATTTGATGGGATGATGATCTAGGGTTTATATAGAGCTTGAGTTTGTAGATTTCTGCGCAATGATAACAATGTTAGAAAAGGATATAATGTAAGTAGACCACAACGCAGGGTAGTACATACTTCGTTTTTGTCTTCGGTCAGTTTTATCGGTAAACAATGACATTTTTCCGAAGACATTCAGCATACTACAAATGTGACGGGTCGGAGGATCTCACTTGAAGATAAACAAGTTTACTGATTTACATATATTTTAATATAAGGTCCAAAAGTAGTAGATAAACTTTTTATATAGAAATGGTAGGGTGCGTATGTCTCGATGATTACATGTCTCGATGATTTGATGCAGTAGAGAGCACGAAAAAAATTTAATATTTTGTTTTAAGGGAATCGTTGGCTTAAGTTTCATTTTAATTTTTACATAATAAAAATTTCGATATAAAATTGTAATTCCTAACATGTATCTTGGTAAATACGAATCTATATCTTAATTGACACGAAACACTTGGAGAATTAGCAATTTTCCTTTTCGTGTTACCTAGCAATTTTATTGGTCTCACAATCTTTATGGTTACAACATTAAAGGCCAACAATATGTATTGCTGGTCATAATCATAATAAAAATATCCGTAGAGAGAAATAATCTCTTACCGCCATAGCCAGCAAGAATGTTGTTGAAGACAAGCAGTAAGTGTATCCCCTATGCTCCCACCTCTACTTTGAACATATCTTCCTGTCTTAAACTACAATTATGCAGACGTCATGATTCAAAGGATTAGACACAGAATATTCTTGAGGCGGGATAGTGCGTGGTTTGTGTGTGTGAAATTTTCTGTCGTTTGGCCTATTCAGAAATAGAAAATTAGAATGCTTATCTCAATGCTAATTTATTTGACCCTTTACTTTATACTCCCTCGCTTCCAAAATAATTGTCCGGTTTAACCTTTGATTTTTCAGTACAATTTATACCAAAAATAAAATCAAATAGTACAATTATTTGGGTACAGAAAAAGCAATACCTAAGTTAGAAAATTTTTGGGCAACCATATTTGGAATCTTTTTCAATAATTTCGTCAAATCTAGTTGAGGATAGTAAAGGGAAATAAATTTTTTTTTTAAAAAAAAGTTTCGTCTTCACGATAAAAATAGACGTTATGTAAAATTTATGTATTTAAAGTTTGCTCCACAGTTTCGGAATATTTTTATATCCATCAATATGCTAATTTTTATTAATTTCTAACATCACTTAAAAGATTATACTCTTGACGAAAAAAAAAGTTCGAATATAGAATAAGTTCCAAGCAAACTTACAAAAGTCGTTTTGCCCCATTTTGAAGGATATGTACCGTAGACAACAATGATCGATCTGTGGATAAATTGAACAACCTTCAAAAGTCCTTAAGTACATAGTTTTGAATATTAACTTGAGACTTTCTTTTCTTTGGTAACGTTGGGAAGCCACCAGAGTTGAGTAAACTCACACTCATTACAATAGTCACTACAATAACTTGCAAATTGCAGTGGGGGTATTATTCTATATTTCTCTGGTTACAATATTTCTCTGAGTGCACAAATCCTGCTACCCTACATAGGAAACTTACTACTATATAAAAAAGAACCTCAACGCCGAGCAGATCTGATCGGATTACTCTGTTAGGTCTTTCCCTGATTTCCCAAGAGGCTCGGTCAATGTCAAAGTTAAATGGAGATTTTGCTTCTGCGTGCATGATCAGTACTCTCTCTCAAAATTTTTTTTTTAATAAATTATATTTTTGCAACGGAACTGTCATATGTATGAAAGGAGTTCTTGAATTGTCTCATAACACTCTGCGCTTTTATACATTTTAAATTTTTAATTAGACAAGCTATATGTATGCTCACATTTTTTCTCGAATTGTGTACCATTTCCTTACATGGTATACGTTGAATGCGCTTCATTTCCAAAGTCATATATACCGCAACTACTGCATTGTATAAAGATATATAGTACTAGTTTGTATCTACAATCCAATCAAAAACTCACTACTTTCTAAGTCCTAGAGGTTACTTCCTCCGTCCTAATATTATAGCAAAAAATAAGAAAATATTTTTTTTTAACGGAGGGAACCCTATCAGAGATGGGTAAACTCATGCCAATTGTAATACCCTATAAACTACGGTAAGAGGTAAACCATTATATGCAATAGCATGGAAACCACAGTGGAAGAATTCCGGGGTAAAGACCGAGGTAATAACCTGTGGTAGTGGGAAGTAAACCAGGTAAACCATTATATGCAAGTCCGGGGTGACAAGCTTGGATGCGAAATTGAGGGTTCATTAATGGGTTAGCCATAACAAACCCCTAAAGGTGCCAATAGGCAAGATAAGAGCCAATCCCTCATATTTTGTTGGAGTGGGGGATTGAACTCATCATCTCCTCTTGGAGCAAGGGTGGTTTTACCATTGAATCAACTCCTCATTTGCAATATGAAAATATTTTATTAATATATATTTATATATCATAATTTGTTACCCTATGCACAAAGTTTAGATCGAGTCTCTCCTGGTAAAGCAGAAAATGATGGGCGAATAAAACAAGACATTTAGTCGACATATGTAGATTAAGAATTACTGGGGAGTTCTTAATAATTTTTTCTAAAAAATAAAAAAATAAAATAAAAGTTGTTAAAATAAATTGTTGAGGTCGTTACATGTAAGTGACTTTAGTTCAATAAACGGGACAATATATAATTACCATTTATGATTGATTCGGGCTTTACCAATTTTTGGAGAAGAAACATATATACTTGGGGGTAGGGTGGGATTCAAAGGCGTTGTAAAATAATTTTTAAAATTTTTCTTCTCAAAAAAAAAAAAAAAGAAACGTTATTCATCAGATACGTGTTAACCGAGTTAATTTTTTTTAATCAATATCTATTAATTTGAGCGAAAGCTTGAGTTCCATGGGTATAATTTTAACCAACACAACGCTTATGGTTTACAGGAAAATTTTTGTTTCCTTGCTAGTCAAAATGCAGTTTCATTTCAGAAATATTTTTTCTTGTTTGCTTCTTTTTGTGATTTTTAATACAACAGGAAATGGGCTAACGATACACAACTCGTATTGTCACTGAGCTCATTATACTCATTGTAATTCTGGGGGCGACCAGAAAGTATATTCATATTTTAGGAATTTTTTGACTCACCCAAATTTCTATTTTTATGTTATAAATGAGTACTGAAAATCGATTCAGTCTCACATGTTCATCGGTATATTCTTTGATTTGGTTCTGACAAGATTACATTGTTATTCCAAAAAGAAGGCATGCCTACATATTTACTGATCAATTACGTAAATTATATTATTTTTAATATAATTCTAAATTAAAATGTAAACTATTTTTTTGGAACGAAATGAATATCACATATGTGTGTTCATTATGGCGGTAAAATGGTGTTCGATTGTATGTGTTCATCGCGCTCCACACACTTGGCTTAAACATACGTTAACATAAACTTTCTTGAAAGGAGTTAACAAAAAAAAATAAAAAAAAAATACATATATATGAGAAATATAATATTATCACTCTCCCAAAAAAAATAAGCCACCTTGAATTTTTAAATATAATCTAATTTTAGTATAAATTTGAAAACTCGGACTATTTTTAGGACAGATGGAGTAACACGGTAAAATTCAGCAAACAATTTAATCAAAGTGTGGAAGGAGCATAAGAAATGAAGCAATCAACCATGGCGATAGTACCACTCTTATGACCATTGCACAGAGTGTTAATGTCGTCCATCGCAGCCTGCATACATGTATCGCAATCTTCTTTCGTCAGATGTTCAGAACAATGTCCAGCGGCCACGGCCTCGACGCCATAAAATTCTACATAGGACGTGTGTTCTTTCCTGGGCGAGTTTGGGGTAAAGTTGCGTACCTCTCGAATCGCTTCCGTCGCAACGCCTCCGTACGGATCACCGGAGGAGTACGTGTCGGAGCTGCATTCTTCGTGGGTAATATCGGTGTTGGGATCACTATTCACGACCAAGCACGAGCAGATTATCCCGAGGAGTATGATTAATGTTGCAATTTGAAGCCTCATTTTCGTTAGCCAGAAACGATGGTGAGAAATATTGCAAATTGTAATGTTGGTGAGGTAATGGGTTTAAATAAGTGAAAGAGTTTTGGATTTGTAGATTAATTTTCTCACTGAATTTGTCCATATTGTTTGCTGGCTAGAAGATTCTCCTACTGCTCTATATTCATGACATAGTCAAAAAAAGGTGACATATAATTCATGTGGCTTATTAATTCGCTTGTCTTATTGCGTACTAACACTTATTCATTGTTTTTTTTATATGACATTATTTTTGGATAGGTTTCAATTATTAGTAACAAAAAAAGAGGGGTAATTATAAGAATAGCCGGGAGGTTTCACAAGAAAACAATTCCTGGAGGCTATATATTGGTGTGGCTTGTTAAATTAATTAACAACAACCAAGCAGATGCTGTTTTTTCATCGAAAAGTAACAATCTGCATGAGTTATTCTTGTGCATTTAGGTTACAGTTTTTACTTTCCATCCCAAAATTAACCAAAAGAAATTACTTTATTCACCAGAGATTTTAGTTTCCTACCTTGACTAGAATTATCTAATTATTAAGTCCAAAAAACATATTTCGATGTTGTGTTTCTCATCAAGAATTTAATATCTGTTGGCCGTCTTTTAGAATCTTATTATCACATCGTTTTCATCACAAATTTTAGATGGGGGTTTTTCGAAAAGTATTTACGGAGTTGCAAGTGAAAAACACATCTGCCAAGTTTTTGTTCGAATTTTTCAGGTCCGGTCATTTTTCATTTTCGAACTTTTATTTTATTTTATTTTATTTTTGTGTATTTTTGTTATAGGGTGTATCTGAATTCCGATCTTGCTAGTATTTCAAACACTTGGGTTCACTTCCGCGTTTCACAGATAATTTTCACATCATTAGAACTAATGAAAATCTTAAGGAAATTTTAACTATTATCTTTGTTTAAAAAATAGTCCACGTTGAATTTTCTGACGTGTACTGTTTTTAGTATAAATTTCAAAATTTTATTTGAATTATTTTCTTGGGACAAAAACAGTAAATGTAATCAATGAGGGCGCTGATGTGGTGTTTTAATAATTACGGTAGAAACTGTTTGGTGGTAGGTAGATCGAAAATCTTACCACATAATCATCATATTCGATAATGAGATATAACAATTTATACCCAAGAAACGTAGACATCAGCTAGCAAGCTCAAAAAAATTATAGTTTACGTATTTATATATTCATTTCGTTTTATTTTAATAATCTAGTATGTTCTGCCTATCAATCACAAAAAAATTTTGAAGTAACATAAAAACCATATAGACAAAGTGCGAACTGTTAAATTTTACAAGATCTATTTGTTAAGTTTTGATTTGGACGATGTATATGTTGTTTGAGAATTAGCGATTTTGTTAACCGAAAAAAAAAAATCAGGGATTTAAATAGAGCTTGGGTTTGAAGATTTCTACAAGTAATGTATTCCTTCGGTGTTATAAATAAAAAAAAAATATATTTTTAAAAAATCCACATAAAATTTGAGATTTATACTAACAATGGAGGATAAAAATGTGTTTGAGGTTAGAAGAAGCCCCTAAAGCCATGCATTCGCTTGCATATGTAAAACGATAATAATTATTTGTGTCCAAAACTTCTCATGGCAATCCATTGTCTTTTTATTAAAACAATTCCAGTGGACGTTATTTTTCAAATACAAGCACATTAAAAGTCTCGCAGAGGTCATACCCCAAAAAAAAAAAAAAAAGAAGAAATCTGGGTATGGACATACATTTGGTCCCAAGTATTTTAGTGTTTATTATATATATGTAGTTGGTCAGTATATATATTATTATTAGCCAGATTTAAATTTGGGTACGAACATGCATTAGAGACGATTTAAAATTTAGATGTTTGTTACGAGAATTTTGTGTGTTGAAAAACTTATAATAGAGAATATCATTCCAGGATAATAATGAAAGCTCATGAGTTCTGCGCAACAAGTATACATCGTCGTCCGATCAAGGAGACAAAAAAAATTCTTTTTCTGCAATAAAGCGATCTATCTTACTCTGTTGATTGTAAACAATTAAATAAATTGGAATTTTACTTGTTCGAAAAGGCAGTGAGTATATTATATTTTTGAAAAACGCTGTTCAAAATGCATGCTTTCTAAGTCCCACAAAAAAGTCTTGTTCAATATATTTTTTCTTCAATAAATAAATACGTTTTTTTTTTTTTTCTTTTTTTGGAGAAATTGTAGCTTGCATGTCAGGATCTTTCCAGCAGCAGACAAGGATCCTTCTCCCTTCTTTCAGGATGCTGCTCAATATCTTCGATTGGTGGGAAGCTTACTGTATCTGAATTTTACTAGACCAGACCTGACATATGATGCACAGTAGCTTAGTCAGTATGTTCCGAAGCCAAGGGACTCACATTGACAAGCAGCCTTACACGTTTTAAAATATCTTTCTGGCAGTAAGTCCCAAAGGTTGTTCTATCCTGTTCTTACTTCCCTTGATCTTGTTGCATTTACAGATTCTGATTGGGGATCATGTCGTACCACCAGACGTTCCCTTACAAGATATTGCATTTTTCATTGCAATTGTTTGATTTCTTGGAAACCAAGAAGCAGACTATAGTTTCATGTTCTTCAGCCGAAGCTGAATATAGATCCATGGCTTTCATTGCTCAAGAACTTCAGTGGATATCCTATATTTTGAGAGATTTTGGTCTTCCTCTTCCTACACCAATTCCACTCTTTTGTGATAATAAAGCAGCAATCCACATCACTGAGAATCCAGTTTACCATGAAAGAACCAAAAACCTTGATATTGACTGCCACATTGTGACAGATCTTTATACCGCTGGATTTCTCAAGCCTCTTCATGTTTCTACCAATCATCAACTTGCTGATACTTTCACCAAGCCACTTCCATCTTCCTCTTTCCAGTTCCTTATGTCCAAGCTGAGTCTGATTCATGCTCAGCTTTGACGGGGGGTTAAACCAGGTAAGCAAACGAAATTCCGAGGTCCCCAAGGATCAGCTCCAAGAGCATGCACATGTTGCATCACACATGATCCGTCCTCCTTCGTCACTTCTAGAAGAAGACTTGATCTCCACGTCAGGAAATCAGCAGGAAGATCTAGGAGGATCCAGACTGTTCACGGTGGCTAAAGTCACCAAATTGTGATTGTTGATTCCGGAATTAGCCCCGTATATATTAGAGATAGTTAGAATTCTTCTTTGTACAGTCATGTTACTTTAGCAAAGTCACCAGCTGTATTTATCTATAATTACTTGTACATGAAAGAAATGTGAATAAGATTTTTCAGTCATTCAGAAATTCAATCGGTTGTTAAGACATTCTTTTCATGGAAAATTTACTTATTAGTAACTGAAAAAAAAAAATGAAGAACAAAATATGCTTAGGGTTTAAATTGTGGCCGAAAATAGCTTTCTCGCACTTCAGAAACGCGAAAAAATAAAAATTCGCGTTTTGAAAACGCTAAAAACACAAATTCGCGTTTTGAAAACGCGAATATATGTTTTTCGCGTTTCAAAAAAGGAGAATTAATTAATTTAACATAATCCTAATTAATTAACTTGAATCAATGAGATTTCGCGTTTCGAAAACGCGAAATCAATTAAAAAAATATTTTATTTAATAAAAAAGAAAATAGGCATAAAAATATGATTAATTTGACTAGTTTAAAACCTTATAGGGAAATTGACTTCAAAAAATTATTAAATTTGAATAATGGTAACAGAAAATTTTAAAAAATTATAACTGTTAATCATTAAATTTTGAATAGAGCTATAAAGAGGAAAATTATATTGATAATTTTAATAATACGAAAATTAAATTTTGAATAAGAATATAATATTATAATTGATACTCATTAAATTAAATAGAGCTATACTAAATATAAATTATTAAAAGTATGATATAGTTATTATAATGTATTAATTTTTTAGAACATTATATAAAAAAATTTAATAATGATTATATTAAAAATTTTTATTAAAAATGTAATCATTATTTTAAAAAGTAATTTTATATGAAAAATTTTCAATAATGATAATGACGTAATTTTATGGATTTAATGAGATGTAATTTAATTTACAAATTATTTTTATTAATTATGATGGTTTTAATATAAGAAAAAAGCTTAAAATAGGAATAAATTTTATTAAATATTTATTATAATTTACCAACACTTAAGATGAAGCAACTATTAATTATGGAAAAAATATAAGAAAGTTTAAATATGTGATTCGATTTGATCGGCGAAGATGTGTTTTATAAATATTAATTATTGTATTTACGATGCAGGTGAAATCAAACTATTAAGAATATTAATACAAGTCATAACAAAATACTACAAGTCATAACAAAAGGTAAAAAAAATAAAACAAGTCATAACAAAAGTAAAAAAAACAGAAATGAACAAAAGGGAAAAAAAAAATACAAGTCTAATAATACTACATAAGAAGTCTAGTACCCTACTTCTTCTTGGGCTTTTTAGCCCGAAAAATGCTATAAGTCAATCTATCGGGCTCCTTCGTCACTCTCTGGCCTTTACTCACAGCCAACGGTGGAGTCCTTAGAGTCTGACTCGATCCCTGCTCCTCATGGCACTGATAACCCTGACCCTCAAACTGATCATCCTGGTCTGCATCCTCAGCCTCATCCTCACCCTGACTCTCACGCTCACCCTCAGCTGGGTTATCAGCCTGATGCTGACCAGCAACACCCTCGAACATACTCGAAAGAAAGGTACTCGTGTAATGTATCGACTGGCCATCTAGCGAACTCTCTGAAACCGGAAAAGTCAATAAAAGAATCTCCAAACTGACGCTGAGAAGTCTGAGGGGAGGAAAACTGAGTGAAGGAAAAATTGACTGCTTGGTCTTTGGGAGACATAATCGGACGGTAAAACGCCTGTTGGGTCGGCGAAGAATGATGTGGAGACTGATGGGATGAATGATGTGGAGACTGATGGGCTGAATGCTGTCGAGAATGGAGTGGAGACTGATGTGGAGACTGATGGGATGAACCGCCAGTGAAGGGAATATGAGACTGCTCATGCTGGGAGGACTGATGTGGCTGAGATGATGTGATTGTCTCTTGGCCCCCCACGCCCACGCTGAGACCTGCCACCATTTTCCAAGTATCGGTGGCCTTCTGTATCGGTGGCCTTCATCTTTATCTTCATCTTCATCTCCATCTTCATCTCCATCTTCATTGTCTTCAACTGTTCTACCACCACTAGTGCTGGCACCAATATCCTGGCCAGATGTACTTGCATAAACATGGCCTGTTCTCTCAACATTTTCAGGGTACAATTCTGGCCATTTATCAGCACAAAGATAAATAAACCGAACAGTATTATCATCATTAATGTGCACACGAGACCTTTTTCCTGACCTCTCCGTCCATACCAAAGAAAAATCAATATACAGCCCTTCTCTGTCAACTCCGATCACACTTAATACCTTATCAACAAGTTCTGAGAAATCTAACATACGATCAATGATAAGATAACCGTCCGGCGCATCCCGCTGTACCGTGATAGTCCCATCAGGTTCAGTTGTATAAGTAGTATTCCAGTATAATTTCAGACGAACTGTCTCCGTGAAAGACATTTGCAGCCTGCAAAATCAATTCCTACGAAATCAGTTTGCGGCCACAGTATTTACCCCGTTTACAGATTTAATAATTTTAAAAGAACAACTATACGCCTGAATTTACAAATTCATTTGTATGCTCAAAATTAATATTAAAGCTAAACCTTATGCCCGAATTACATAATTTATTCTTATGCTATAAATATTCAAAAATTCAATATCATTATTATAATTTTATTTTATTTTACAGAAATCGATGTAAAATAATTTACAATGCTCATCTAATTTAATATTCTATTAACTAATATTTCTTTCAATTTACTTTATCAGCCTCAATAAAAAACCACCGTTAATTGACTAAATCACAATTATATGTTAACTAATAATAATGCGTAAATCATCCTATGCTCATAATAAAACATAAAAAAGTACATGTTTTTAATAACGAAATAAATTTACCTCAATGTTAAAACTTAGAGTTTTAAATAGGCTTCAGGACTCAAATCAATCTTCTTTAACCTCCGAGCAACTTCTCAATTTGAACAAAATGAGAGCTTTCACGAATTCAGCAAGTCCTCCGGAGTGAAACTTAAAATCGGAGTTCAACAGAATGAAAGAAATTTGGAAAGAAAAATCGGAGCTGAACAATGAAAAAAAATTTGCGGAGGAATGCTGTTAATTCGCTTGTTTTATATATGAATCTTAAATTTCGCGTTTAACAAACGCGAATACATTCCAGACTTATCATCAAAAATACACGTGGAGACGGGTGAGTGGATGAGGAGATTTTCTGGATATTTTCGCGTTTTGAAAACGCTAAATCTATTTTTCGCGCTTTGAAAACGCTAGAAATTTTGTTTCGCGTTTTCAATACGCTAAATTCTTATTTGCAAAATTTGCAATTTTAAACTTACAGATTTTCGCATTTTTTAAACGCGAAAATAGTTTCTCGCGTTTTGAAAACGCGAAAACAAAGTTTCGCGCTTTGCACACGCGAAAACAAAGTTTCGCGCTTTGCAAACGCGTCTTACGTTTTTCGCGTTTCTAAAACGCGAAAAACTGATTTTTCTTTTTATTTTTTTTGCTTTCGACCCGTTTGAAGCTGAGTGCTTGGAATTAACATTATTCGAGTTTGTGAAACGCGAAATGTTAATCTAATTTCATTGTTTCGCATTTTCAAAGCGCGAGAACATTATATTTGTCTACAAAATAAACCCTACACATTTTTTGTTCTACACTTTTGGGTTTGGCTCACCCAAAAGTCAAGCACCCTTCTTTTCATCCCTCTTTTGTTAGCTAGGGTTTATACACTTCATCTCTTTCTTCATTCATCATCATGGTTCCAACCGGCCGGTCTGGTCCGGGTTTGATAACATTGATTAGAAGTTGTCATAAATTAGGGAAAAAGAAATTAATGCAGATTATTGATACACTTTTTGACCGACATAGAAGATCAGCTGAAGGGTTTTACGAATATGTCACTATAGATAGTTACAAAGAGCCATGAAAATGAAAGGACGGTATCGATCTCAGTGGTAACATCTTAGTATCGATAATTTATTAAAAAATTTCAGTTTAAACTATATTATACTTTAAAAATTAATTTTTTTGTAATTTTTGTTGCAAACGGAAATGGATCGCATTTTATTTTTCCTTTTTGCCCTATGTAAATTAATGAAGGGGTCTATGGCACTTTAAGCTAAAACTAAATCGCATCCTCTAATTACCTTAATTAGAGAATTTAACACGGTGCCATATATTTCCAATATTCTTGTGCTAGGGTACATTCATGATTCATCCCATAATAATCTACGCTCTAGAGATTAGATGTTGTTTGCATAATTTTCGTCTTAGGAAAATCACACAGTATATCTTTCAAACGATTGTGCGTTGTTCTTCATAACCCGTGCTAAATAAATCAAATATACGAATTTTAGAACAAATAAGAATCGGTCGAAGGACAGATTTTATTATAATATTTGAATATCAAGTACAGCCGCCGATAATCGGCCTACTTTAGGGAGTTCTCGAAGAACCATAGCTTTAGAAATAAAATCGGAAATAAAAGACTGAAAATTTTAAGAAGCAATTCAATGCTATTTTTATTGTGTCCTTCCTCCTACCATCGAACCCTTTAAATAGATTTTACAAACTAAATCTGTTCACAAATCCTTCTTCAGATCCAATATGGTTTCCTCCCTTCAATCCGAACTGGGCTTCATAAAATCTCTAGTCCACGGCCCGTTACATTGCATCGCTGCGGCCCAACTTTAATCCTTGTCCAGCTGCAAGAACTGGCCCAACATAATGCCTCCCGAGAAAACTTGTGAATTAATCTGAACAAATTTTCTAATCTTCCCGGGCAAACTTCATATACAGTATATTTTCCTTACTGAAACATATCCCTTCTCCTGGTAACCATTATCTCAATCCCAAGAGAAATGGGATTCATATTGATACATATCTTCACCAAATCAAGATGATATCATTCTGTTAATGCACCATTCAAGATGGTATTAATAACATGTCTCCTCTTCATCGCAAACATCATCATTACTTTTCTCGAGCTACAAAAAGATTCGCTCTTTCTCTCTTCCCAGCCGTTTCTGCAAACTTCCATTTTGCTCCCACCTTAAAATTATCGATGGCCGCTGTCAGAGATTATTCTCCGGCTCTTGCTTCCAGGCAAGCGATCCCTGCTGCCGACGCTCTGTCGCTAGTGCCTCCCTACCAGGACACGTTCTCATCAACCACCGCCAAGACCCAGTTTTTCCAACTGGGTTCTGAGTTTGACCAAGCGCCACCATCCTTAGTCCGGCACATACCACTATACCGCCCTACTAGCCCGTCTCATGATTTTATTAATCTGGGCAACTGTCAACGTGTTCAAGAGCACAGAAGCTAGCCCTAGTCCCATAACGCCAAAATTCACTCCACCTGGGTCGAATGGTGTGAGTTTCTTGAACCGGAATTCGGCCAGATCTGGAGGGACGCCGACATCTATGAGTTGATTAAGTTCTGCAAGGTTGGAGTTTCCTTCGATCCAACACTAATCAGCGCCACTGCTCGTTTCTAGTCATCTACTTCCAACGTTCTTTGTTTGCCCTGGGGAATAATGTCTCCTACACTGCTGGATATTTGCTTGATTACTGGCTTGCCGCCAGAGATCCCTGTCCCGGTGGACATCAATCTGGAACATGAAGAGGCAATAGATCTGGCCGCCAACAAGCAGAATCACTTCGGGCTCTTGATGGAAGCAGTTCAAGACACCGACCCAAACACTCAGCATAAGACCTTTTTAGCCTATTGGCTAAACAAGTACGTTTTCTGTTCTCGTGCTTTGCAAATGTCCATGAATTTTTATCACTTAATTTGTGTTTTAGCCACTGGTCAGAAGGTAGATTTAGCCTCTGCTCTGTTAGGTAGTTTTCATCATCCGGCACAGACCTTAGGCATGGGTATACAGATATTGCCGCTCCTAATCAGCCCGTGTGTAGAAATATAACTAGCTTAGAAGAAAACAAACTATAGGTTGATGGCGTTGTAGCCATCTTGTTGGAAGTCGAACCCAATATATCTATTGTCCACAGTCTTCTTGACATCGATTTCTATCAACCCTGTTTCGGCCTTGAGTATGAGGCAGAGGCCAAGTTTGGCAATTGGGATGACTCGGCCACTACTGGAATGAGGGCTATATGGGGTTATTTTCTAGCCACCCGGGATCTGCACTATGGATTATGACCTCAAGAAGCTACTGAAGAGAAGAAAGCCATGGAGTCTCTTGCTGAATTTTACCCGACAAACATGGTGGCCCGTCAATTCGGTCTAAGGGAGATTGTTCCCCACTTTGAGTTCAATGGTTGGAACAATTGGAAGGTTGGCTGATTCCACATTCCCCAATCGGTGCTTGCTGGACGCATCAATTGGATGAATCTGATGATGCAAGATGTCACCATCGTGCCTTTCACGCCCAGGCCTGTATGTTCTGTTGCTTTCAGACAATAGTGGCAACACACTTATCCAGTTGTCATTCGTTGATCGGCGGATGACCTTAGGCGACAGCTTGATGTTGCCAATGCGGCTATACCTATCATATCTAGGAGCATCGCCCCTCTGACAGATGATCGTACCTTACCTGTCTTGTATAACCTTGTCTGCTTTCTCCTTACTGTGTTTTTCTAACTCTTTACTTGAATGTTCAGATCTGGTAAAAGACAGGGCTTACAACAAAAATCAAACCCCAGCTTCCAATCCTTCTTCCGAGCCCGTCAAATAGTCTTTATGGATATTGACCAGACCTTGGAGAATCAAATATGCTGCTGCCAAACAACATCGGGTAACATTCCTTTACCAAATAGATGTTCTGTTTCTTCTTTCAACTCCTTCAATTTTCTCTGACATTTCATGTATCTCAGCCTCAACATGGAAAAGCTCTTGTTGATGAAGATGTGCAATTCTTG